TCAGGGAAGTGTTGCAGGTTTTATTAGACAGTCTACAAAGGAGTGTTGCTGTGCGTGTGTGTGAGCTGTAGCAGTGCAGCTCTGCATGCATGTCCTCCAGCGTGGTAATTTCCCACTGGATTTTCCTCTTTTCCCTCCTCTCCGCTCGGCTCTTCACCGCTCATCATTAGGATGGACTTTATGTCATTTCTTACTTCAGCTCTTCTCTCCGGGCCAGAGAGGGGTGTTGGTGAACAAAGCTTCATTTTTTTTTTTTTTTTTTTTTGCTTTCTTTCCTTCTCCTGTCTCCCTCATTGCATGTCTCCACTCTACATCAAATCACTTGGCTCCTGGGCCAGCATAGCTCACTGTACTGCTGGGCGTTCAAGGATTTTTTTTGTTTTGTTTTGCTTCATGATTTTTTGTTTTGTTTTGTTTTACTCTGTTATCATGAACTCAATGTTTTCAAGTAAAATTAAAAAAGATTGCAAAGAAGAATTATGGATATCCCAAAGCATTTTATAGAGTACACAGTATTTCAAATTTATCGTCATTTTACTAAAAACAATATTTGATTGTTACTTTAAATATTTCAGAAAGAGTTCGAGACAAATTTGGTACTTTCCGAAATATGGATAAGACTTCTCACTATCCGAGTTTCATGTTGCAACGAAGCTAAAAACAAAAAACTGTAAAGCTACGTACATCATTATTTATCATTAATCATGTAGCCATCGACGATAATCTATATATTCACATATGGCGTGTTTTTCTGTTCTTATGCTGCACAAATGCTACAAATCTGTTTTATTACTTTAGGTATTTTGGAAATACACAGGGTTTTTTGGTACAGCAAAAAGAACTTTAGTTTGAAAAGTTCTAATCCCTTTTTTTTTCTTCATATTTTACTTCCCATGAGTGAGATTTTGTTGTAATCCATCAAAATGGTATTATTCAAAAAATTGAAAAAAAAAAAAAGAAAAGAAAAAAAAAAAGGTTCTTGGGCCCTTAATGTTTTTGCTTTGGATTTTTGATGCTTTTTCGCTCGGCTCATCACAAAAACAGTTTGTTCCCATTTCATTTCATGAATCTGTGAAACACTTTTAAAAAAACAGATTTTTATTTTTTTTTTCCTTGACATGATCATTTCCAATCAACTATTTGCTGAAAATTTGGCAGACAACTAAAAGATGGTGCATGGAAGATCTTTATCAGATTTCAAGACCTGATTTTCCACTGCTGTTCATCATCTGTAAATATCTATATCTATGAGCTTGCGCAGTCTGGTCAGGAGCTGGACAGAAGACGGAAAAAAGCAGCCAAAGTCCAAGGAGAAAACTTTTAAAACCGAAAAGCCCAAAAAACTAACAATCAAACCCACTTCCGTAGATTACTAGAAATTTTTCAATTTGGTAACAAATTATAAGAGTTCAAAGGTTGTTTCAAAATTATACACAGTACTTATACAATATAATCTCATGGCAAAACGCTCAAAACTGAGTTGTAGTTTCCCCAAGTTATATAGTTCAAAATAAACCGTCACAAGCTGTAGGCTGGAGTAGTTTTCTGTTCTGCCCTTAGAGCAAATGAATAAAAGCCAAAATCAGTCAAGTTCTTGCATCTGCACTTTCTAACTTTTGCTGATTTGTGGCTAAATCTGTAAAAGTAAATCTGTAAAATCTGTAAAATTAACCCCTCAGGATATTCTGATCACTTGTTGTTTCTGAAAAATTCCGTACATTACAATGTATACATTATTATTATTATTAGTATTTAAAGCAAAAATATGCAGTGTTGGCAGATTTATTTTTCTTTGATTTATTTTTGGGATTTTTTTTTTAAATTTGACATTTAGCTAATATAGAAATATTGTTAAAAACCATCTTATTTCTATTTATCCCATTAAACATTAGTCTAAATCTGTATGACAGCTTTTGTGCCATTATATCCTTCACCTCACTGTGATCTATTGTTTTTTTTTTTGTTTGTTTTTTTACCCAATCCATGTCAGCCAAATCACAACTGATTATATCTTCTCTCTGTAATTTCTGTTGTCAGCGGCTTTAAGTTATATCTGTGTGTATGCACCTTTCCTTCAATATGTGCCTAATTTTATATTAAGTTTATATTTTGTAATATTTCCATACTATATATGATTAAAAAGTATATATATCGCAAGTAAAACTAAAGGGAAAATGCTGTAATTCTGTGTTGTGCATAGTGTTTTTGTATGATTGAGGTTCAGCTGTTTATGATGTTCCACAATGATAAATATTGCATTAATCAATTTATTAATAAATGGTATTTGCTTCAGTTGCTGCCTCTGAGTGTGTGTCTGTTGCCTGTAATGCAGAGACTGACGTTGCGCTGGCAATAAAACTCAATTCCTCTCGGAAAAGTGACTGAAAAAGAAGCTGAGGCTTTAAATCTGCTTACATTTATTTTGTATTTTAAAAAAAATGACTATTTCAGCCAGATTGTAAGCAAGTTTTATTTCAAAGAGTTGAAAGCATTTTTGGGTTGTACGATTCGGAACATAGACAAAATATGGCCTGTTCTTTATTTCATGAAGAACTACAGTATCTAGAATATCACATAGTATGTATTTGCTTCTGTGTGATAAGTGGACTGTTTAAATGAATGAATAATTTCCCGCTGCTTGTCCAAACCTTAAGCATCACCTCTCTTCTTGGACACAGCAGATTGAACAGGATAATTGAAGAAGCTTTGATCTCTCGAATCGACTTCCTGTTTCAATCTAGTGGTTGTATATCCTCAGATGTCTACAGGCGTGGGCATTCACTCCTTGCACCTTGGTGCTTTAAAAGTGGGGCTGTTGATTAGGAAAAAAAAAGTGAGAACTGCTGCTGTGTTCACATTTATCAATCGTAAACGACAGAATGGCAAAATATGCGTTTTGCTTTGTGCTTGCTTGATTCCACGTTTGCGATGTGGGTGGAGTGAAAAATGGAAGAAAGGCTAGAGAGTTGGCAGCTCTGATTGGTGCTAACTTGACAGAAGTGGACTTTTTAGGGAAGCCAAGCATGCTGCTGGCATTGTGATGGTATGTGGTTGCTTTGCTGCAACTTAATTTAGCTGTTGGAACATTTCATTTTGGAAAATGTCCAGCAATCAGTTAATCGGTTTTAGGTCAAAACTCACCTGGGTTATGCAGCAGGACGATAATCCAAAGATATCAACACATTTCTGAATAACTCCAAAAAAAAAAAAAAAAAGCTAAATGAAGATTTTGAAGTGACCCAGTCAAAGTTATATGACAGTTTACCCTCCCATATGGGTAAATTGAAGCCCAAATACTTTCTTCCTGCCTCCAAGTGGCCCAACCAGTTAAATCAAGGGAGTAATTACTTCTTCAGACTGGTTGAGGCTGTTTTGGATCATTTGTTTCCCTTAGGATTGGAAACCAAATTAAAATAAATATGATGGCCTAAAACATTTTTAGCAAGAACAAGAAAACTGTGAGGGGGAGTAGATACTTTTTCACATCGCTGTAGGCCTTACGTTTTGCACACTTTGATTCAAGAAACAAGTCTCGGTGTGACGTTAAGGATCTGGAAGCGACATAAAATATCACAAGAGACAAAAATTGAGCGATCAGTGCATTTTTATTTTTTCATCACAGTACAAAAATAAATTAAAATAAGCAGAAACATACTAAAAAAAAAAGTTTAAATTACAGCAACTGCTTTCTTTTTTGTCATTTTCCTTTTTTTTAAAAAAAAAAAAAAAGAAAAAAAAAGAACGACTTTATCGAACAGCATGTACACCTTCCTCCCACCGAGTCCTGGTACCACTGCGTATGGTTGCTGTTTGCCAAGTTATCCCTCTAAGAAAACAACACATTCTTCTGTACAAATAAACGCTGCAGCTTACATACACTCAGCCATGCATTCTCGCACACATACACACACACACGCACACACAAACCTGCAGCTCATTGAGCAAATCCTTTTGAAGTTTTTAAATCACTGTTTTATCTACAAACGACAAGATACAGAAAAAGAATCCGACAGAAATATTTCAACTATCAATTTAGTCTTTTTTTTTTTCCTTCTTCATGTTTTATAAGCTTATAAACAACTAGTGAACAATGCAAGTGAAGAAACATGGCACATTTCAAGCTGAGAGGGGGGGGAAATGATTTAGTCTGTTTCAACCCGACCTTCCTGCCTGGTCTGAAGAAAACCCAAAAGAGCTAAAACAGAAATAACACGGATTGCTATTTGGAAAAGCGCAGCCCCGCACTTTTTGATTCCCACCGTCTCCTTAATCGGGAGACAACGATTCATACAAGATATCTTCAATAGGTGATCTTTAGATACATATATAGACTGCAGCTGTTATCTGCTTCTGATATGTGGAGCATCAGGTTGGGTTTCTTGAAGTTAAAAAAAATAAAATAAAATCTCAAAGCTGTGTAGTTTTGGCATGGTGACAATGGAGGCTGCAAATGGTGTTGGTGATGGTCAGATTAAACGCAGGTTTCGATAAATGGGCCCAAAACATAAACAAACCAGCTCAATCTTCATTCTCACCAAGGATAAGCGCGCCTCCTGCACCAACAACCCCTTCCTCTGAGAGTCCTTCCCTTTCTCATCACTCCAATGTGCCCAGCTGAATAAATACCTAAATGGCAATAAGTTAGATGTTGGGATAAGTTGCCTCAACGTCCAGTGTCTCAGTAGTGTTTTCCTCAATGATATGGCACCGTAAGAACATTTTTAATGCTGAAGCATGAGCACAAGAGTGGCTGCAACACAACCCGTCGACAGAAAAAGTACAAAGAAACTTTTTTTTTTTCTTCCCTGGTAAATAAATAGCCTTATTTTAGCAAGCAGAGATAAATAAAACTAGCGTCACTTTGTTCACAGCATTCTCTTAACGCAGATGCAGTCGGTTCGCAAATCAAGTAAAAGGAAGAAACATAATAATCCTAATAATTATAATAATAATAATAATAATAATAATAATAATAACAGCTCCTGGAGGCTTCGTAAAATTGCATGGCACACGTGCAAAATGTTACATTTCTAAGTAGAAAAAGAAAACTTGTTGGAAAACAAAGCAATAAATAAAGCCCCGTGGAGCAAAAACATCCATGAACATGTTGTCTTTCATTTTTTTTTTTTTTCCTTTTTCCTTTTTGTCAAATAATGTAAGTCCTTCCGAACACACGATATTCATCGTCCAGTTTTTTTTTTGTTTGTTTGTTTTTTTTCGTTTTGCTTTTTCTTTTTTCTTTTTTTTTTATCAAAAGTTCAACAAAGCAGGGCTGAATGTCCACTGACTGACCCCTCCAAACCCCCTCACCCCCGGCCATTCTACCTCACCACCCTTAATAAAACTCAGGCTCCGATTGGGATCTCTGTCCTCTGACAGTCAGATATGCATCGCCGCAGGAAAAAGAAGAAGAAGAAGAAGAAGAAGAAAAAGACAAAAACATCCGTGTCAGTGGAGGGGATGTCCCAGAGAGGCAGCGGGAGTTGCCTTGTTCATCCGTGGAGCATGAAGCAATCCAGTCAGGCGATGGCCCTCACCCTCCTGCAGTAGGCAGTGCACATCACATCGTCAAACAGTCAGAAGGTCACTGGTGGGCAGCTGCAGCTTCAGTCCTGTTCACATTCATTGCTGCAGCTTTTTCATACAGTTTTTTTTTTTGTTCTTTTTTTTTTGTCTTGTATTTTATATAATTATGCTTATCTAACAGTTGGTAAAGAACTCACCCAAATCTGGCGTTTGTTTTTTTGTTTTGTTTTGTTTTTTCTTTCGTAACGTGTATATACAGTGTTTATAAATCATCTCTAAATTCTTTCAGTTTTGCCTCCCAAGAAATCTGATAATCCTTCATAAAGGTCTTCAACAAGATGTCTTTCTGAAGGTCATTCAAGGCTTTTATTATTTTATTTTTTTTTGGACAATTGTGCAGTGTGTACTAAAAAAAGAAAGAAAAAATGAGGGAGATGGACTATTCTAAAATAATATAATCCTGTTCCAGAAGCTGGAAGTCGTGTCTTTTAAGACTGGACACAGAACCTGAGACATGGATCACGCTGCAGCTGAGGTTTTCATTTTATATCTCCATGGGAATCTCTTTTTCCCTTGTGGAAATCCTTAATTCTCTCTGCCATTCTTTGGTATTTTTTCACACAGGCTGCCAGCCGCGAAACCTATTGGGTGGCACATAATATGTAAATCAGTGCTGAGGTGCTGCACTAAAAAATGCTGATAAAGCATCCCGTGATAAGAAAAAACCTCGAGTATCGATTTACAAGTCTTGCCACGGCAGCCGTACGTCTTCTGCGGCCTCCAGCACGACGGAGGCAGGATGATCCTGCGTTCAACTCCATCCACCTTCCCTGTCGACTCTTCACCGTTTTGGCGAAAAGCATCCTAAAGCTTTTTTGTTTGCCCTGGCAATGGGTTTTCTGAAATGTAGACCAAACTGTTTAAAGTCTGAAGGACCTTCAGAAAGCCTGAAGTGTTGATCAAGACCATGAAACGATTTACAAGAGAGCAAAAGAAATCTGAAGAATCAAAGAATGACTCGTGTACAATCCGGTATAATAAGTCTTAAAATAAAATAAAAAAAAGCCTTCATTCTTGGGTTTACATTATTTGCAAGTTTGAAAATAGATTTTGGCCCTGACATTTTAAAGCAAAAAAAAAAAAAAAAAAAGTACTGTACTTGGGGGAGCATTGTGATCCTTTCAGTATATGCAAATATTAAACCAAATGTCAAAACTGCTTCATACAAATATGGAACACTCCCTCGTGTAACCTGGCGTCACGGCAGTTTGGACAGTAGTGAATAAATAGCATCATTGATCATTTCTTAAAAGATGTCAAAATGCCAGACTGGAGTTAACCCCCTCCTCCTCCTCCCCATCTCCTCCCCCCACCCCCAGCATCCCCTCACCGGTCCAGGCCAATGAGCAGGCGGCTCCTCTCCTCCTCCTTCTGGCTCTCGTTCTTCAGGTCGGCAAACACCTGAGTGAAGTAGTGGGGATCGGAGTTGATCTGGAGCATCTTGGCGCTCATCAGGTTGATGATGGACAGGCACCGGTCCCAAAAGGTCTCCTTGGAGCTCTCCACCAGGAAGGGCTTGAGCGGATAGGAGATCTCGTTGCCCATGTAGGAGTAGGACAGGTAGAGGCAGGTGAGGAGGACGGCCTGCAGCTCGTGCTCCGTGGCCACCTCGGAGGAGACCACGTCGCGGCACAGCATGTAGACGAAGACCACGTTGGCCGGCGTGATGAAGCCCTGGTCCTGCCAGCCCTGCAGCAGCAGGGAGCGGTCTACGCTGCGCAGCCACAGCACCGGGTCAGTGGGGGAGAGGTGCTTCAGGCGGTAGCAGCGCCGGCACAGGAACTCCCCCAGGCAGCGCAGCAGCTCGCTGGTGGAGGCCTGAACGATCACTCTCTTTGGGGTGCCGGGGGCCACATTGGAGTTAGTCAGTGGGGCCTTCTTGACCGAGGATGTCGTGTTGTTGGAGCTCTTGCTGAGAGCCGGGCTGCTCTGATCCTGGGTGAAGCTGGACAGATTAGCGCAGGACTGCGACTTCTTCAGGTTCTCGTTGTTCAGGTGGGACACGTTGTTCTGGTACGTGGCGTTGGGCTGCACCTTCTTGGAGCTCTTCTTCTTGGCCGACACCGCCACGATCCGCTTCCATGGCAGCACGTTGATGAGCGAGTGGCGCTTCAGGTTCTTGTCTTTGGCGTTCTTGCTGTTCTGCACGGCCGTGTAGTGGCCCACGGTGGCGGGGCCGTCTTCAAAGAGCGCCGCCTTCCGGTAGCTGGGGGACAGAGACAGAACGGTTCCCATGGCGGCTGGTAGGAGGCGTCCAGGAGCGTCAGGGTCAGAGGTCTGAGCTCTTTGAGGGGGTATCTATCACCTGGACAGCCTGCACCTCCTGGAAGCAGAAACATAGTTGGTAAAGATATATATATAAGGAGTCATTCTCCAGTCATTGGGCTCATTTTAGATAACATCACAGCTCTCTGCTCTGTAAAACTCTATCAGATATCTTCAGAGTGGTTTTATACCTCAGGATGTTAGAAGCATTGATTTGAATCTCTAAGAGGCAGAATGCATCATAAGCCACCAGAAGGCATTGCGCTGCTTATGAACAGTCCCCCCACCCCCCACATTTCACATTTGGTCACATAATGAACCAACACAATGATCTGCGTAGTAATCAAATAAGAGGCGAATTACACACTTAGAATCTGGATTACAGGGCTTAAAGTTAAAAACCTAGAAACTGTTGAATGTGTTTGTACTAAACCCTGTTTTCCCTAAAAAAAAAAAAAAAAAAATTAAAAAAATTTAAAATAAACAACAATACAAGTTACGTTCATGAATAACTAAATTATTGCCAATTAGTACCTTGCGGAAACCACGTTTTGCTGCAATTGGAGTTGTGATTATTTTGTTCTATATCTGCAGCAGCTATGCGAAATCTTGTCAATTTTCCTTTCCACAATACCTCAACATCAGTCCCCTTGGATGGACAGCATCCATAAAAACGTATTCTGAGGCCCGGTATTAAGGCATGGACTTTGACTATTCTGAATACACAGGTGAAGCTCCAGTGTCAATGTTTTCATATTTTGTTGTTTTCCATTCACCTAACAACTTGATCATACCTCCTTGTGCCTTATAAAGCAAAACAATCCCACAGCATGATGCTGCCATCACTATATTTTGCAGTTGGATTCAGGGTGATGCCAGTAAGAGTGCCCTACATGTCTTGTGGCAAAATGTAGATGGGAATTTGTACCGCTTTCCTTTTCCTTGTCATCCCCCACTGTCCCACTGTAATTCTGGCTGTATGTTTATGGCTCTGATGCTGCTGGAAGGCGAAGCTCCTCTCCAGTCTGTAGTCTTTGGCAGCTTGTAACAGGTTTTCTTCCATGACTGCTAGTATTAAGCCCCCTCCGTCTTCACAGCCATTCTGAAGAGTGAAGCATCCCCACACCAAGATATTCCCGCAAGCACCACGTTTCACCGTGGGTATCCAGAGTGATACATGGTGGTAATGTTTCGATTTTTTTTTTCTTTCTAAAGATTAACTTGCTGAGGATGTCGTTTTATAACCCAACCTGCTTTAACTTCACCTGACATGTCCGCTGTGTTATCTAATGTCCACGACGCTGTTTGTTCACTAATGTTCTCTAAAGAACCTCTGAGGCCTTCATACAGAACAGCTGGATTTATTGTGAGACTGATGAACACAAACTTAGACTTTTTTTTATTATTATTATTTGACGATGTCTGGATGCGGCCGTAGCGCGTTTCAGTAAAGTGGGCTTGAATACATAGTTTAAATGTTTTCTTTTTAGTCATTTTGAAATCCAAAAATAATTTCCCTTCCGTTTCAAAAAAAAAAAAACGGTGGATTTGAGCTACACGGATGATTGAAGATGGATCCATAATCCATAATTTACAGTGTGAGATTTATGGCGGACGGATCAGAGTGAATCATGCGTCTCCCCCATCCCCCGCACTAAGATGGACGGCCGGACCGTAAACACCATTTTAGTAATAATAATTAAAAAAAAAAAAAGGTGAAGGAGGTCGACTTTTATCCAGTATTGAGCCACAAATAATAATAATAAAAAAAGCCAAGGTCACATTTGTATTTCCTCTCAATTAAAACCCACTAAACACGCTGAATATTGGATCACCTCCCCCTCACCCCCCTTTCCCCCTTCCTCCACTTCCTCCCTCCCTCACTGCAGCGTTAAAGACCCTCGATCCAACAAGCTTCGTTCCTTCATCATATCATCATCATCTTCATCATGTTGTCAACCATGATTACCGGCTCCTGAGGTGCGGGAGAAATACCAGAACATCCCATTTTATTTTCACACGTGATATTACCGGATTAATGTTGCAGGGATGAGGAGCTACGTGCATGCTGCGCTCTCCGTGGTGCTGAATTTGTGCGACCAAGACAGATCTGTCGCTCTGATAGGCGGTGGCTCACAAATAGAGACGTTATTATTATTACTCTTTTTCTCTCCCCACCCCGTCTGTTACTCTACAACATACACAGATACATTTACCACCATTGTGCTCATTTTGATTACACTTAAATTATTATGTTTTGTTCATTAGAAATAATAAGTGCGCATTTCTCGTTCTCAAGAAGAGGAATCCACAAATCCGTTCTACTCAACCAGCGGCTACAGGCTTTTTTTCTTTTCTTTTTTTTTCCCTGCGCAAGGATTACATCAAGAAAGCAAACAAACTCACCAGATCTCCAGCTCAATGATTTGAAAGATGACGGCCTTCCTTAGAATGACGCGTTTGAAAAATATTAAACCATCTCGAACAGAGTAATTGCAGCAAATAAAAAAAAAATAATCCGAGATGATCCAGAGAGGGAGAGAGAGAGAGAGAGAGAAGAAAGAAAGAAAGCACAACAGATGCAGGCAGCGTAATAAACTGGCCTGGTTGTCGGCAGTGTGCAGACGGTGCCGGGCTGTTGTGGAATGGACGCTCAGATGAAGGTGTGCTCCTGGTCCCGATGGCCGCGAGATGCGGGATGCAGCGCGAGCTGATGTTGTGATCTGTGATGGTTGACGCAAAGGCGTAGCTGCGGCCGCCGCGGATCGCGAGGATCTGCGATGAAACGGCGACCCCTGCTGGCGGGCGTCGAGACTGACTTTTCCAGAAACCCAAAGAGATCGGGACTTTAGGGTGAGCAGCAGCGGTATATGGGCGACATGAGCGCCATGGAGATCGGCTATTAACTTCCAGTTGTGTATATAATTTTCTCCCAACGCATCACATGTTATTGGAGTAAAATGCACTGTATTTTGTTGTTTAAAGTGACAAAATGCAAAAAAGGTTCAGTTAAATACTTTCACAAAACACTACTATCTCAAATTGTTCCCCCCAAATAATGTGGAGCACATTGTCCGCTCCTGTTGTTGTGTTTAACAGAATTGTGAAACCACAATGGCCTGGTACTGACTTATCAATCACTTTATTTAAGAAAATATAATTATTGGTATAAGTCACTCAGATAAAGTCTTTTATGTTCTTTTTTTTTCCTTTTTGCAAGTGGACCGAGATAATATTTCAACGAGTGTGTTTCTTAGTTCAAATGTATTTCTCTGCTCTTTCAAGAAAAGTAGATGAATAATAAACATAATTAAAGAATTATTTCAATGTCCATTGTTTGCCCCCACTTTATACATCAAATGTGTTTTGAAAAGAGGCAGACAAATATGGTGTGAGGTTTGTCTTTTCCAGTTTCTTGCACAACAAAGGTCAGAGCAGCTGATAAACATATAAGATATGTAAGGATATCACAAATAAGCCTATAAATACATTTGTCTTCAATGCTGATTTGGAAGACTTGGAATCCCTGGGGGGACCTGTTCAGCCAATATACTACATTTCCCGAAGTGCACTAAGTCACGCATAGCGTAGAGCACACTGACGTCAGCCGCCCAAGAGACGTATTCGCCGCACGTACTTTTCATTCAAGTAGTATTTGAATAAGGAAGATGGCGGCCGCAGCAGTGGTTGAATTCCAGAGAGCTCAGTCTCTCATTAGCACGGATCGGAATGCGTCTATTGACATCCTTCATTCAATCGGTGGGTGTTTATTTCCCTCTTCCGTTAGACCCGGTTCCTCTTATCCTGTTTGTTCCGTGTTTCTCCGTGACTGTCGGAGGCTTTCCAGCAGCTTGAACCGGCGCTGTGCCGTGCTGACTCACTGCTGAACCGATAGCAGCTGGACGTTAGCTCCGTAGCGGCTCAGCTCTCTCTTTAGGCCCATGGTTCCCATGTGTCCCCCAGCAGTCGTAAAAGACGGACTTCTTTTCAAGAACTTTGCTCGTTTTCGTGGCATTTCCTCACAGCATATAGGTTCTGTGTCCAACTATCCCGTTTGAAGGGCCAGTGCTGCGGCTAGCGTTATTAGCCTGTTGTAATGTGAGCACAGTGAAATCAGCTCCATGATTAGGAAAGGCAAACACTCACCGACTTATCTCTGGGACATTTATTAGCAACTTGTTTAAAATCGGCTTGTAAGTCAGCAAGTTCAAATCGGACACATTTTCCTAACGTTATATATCAGAAGGTAATATGTGTCTGTAGACATGGCGGACAATAATTTGCCCTGTCACACCTGCCAAATAACTGTCAACTAGTCTCTGCTCTGTTTACTTCAGGACCCATTATGTTTAATCTGACTCTGATTCTGAACAGATTAGCCGGATAATCTGTGAGTCAGTTAGCACACTTTTAAGAAGCATTAAGTTCAACATAAATCATTTTATATTGAAATATATGAGCCAACTTTAAGAAAAAAAACAGTTTTTTCTAAACGTGGACAATTAAAGCTAGTTGAATTCAACTCCACGACTGTCTTGGGGGAAATGTACTTAAAGTAATTTTAAATAAGTTGTCAGAAAATGACACTTTGATGACAAATTCTTTAAAGTAATTCTTCATCATCTGCTTATAGTCTGTGTAAGGAAACATAGTGCTAATTCCAAAAAGGTCTGCCAAAGGCTTCTTTGAGTTGTTTTCCTTGGCATTGGGTTTTCTAATCTGCCATATTTCATGTAACTGGCTCAAACTGCAATCAGAACTAAAATCAGTGCAAATATTGTAACACAAAGTGTTTAGAAAATAAAATGGCATTTAGGCATTTTCTGACTGTATCGCCGTAAATTGATATGAAATAGTTTATACTGGTTTGGCACACTGACACAGCTTCAGTAATGAGATGGGAGGCGGCGGAGGTACACATTGGGGGTCACATTTTATGTAGATCCCAACCCCAGAATCAATAAAGTGTGTACTTTCCAGAAACTTGTGATACTGCTTACTTCTGTAAAGCAACCAGCTGCAGCCCCATTTCGGAAGGCTGTTAGGGACCAGGGTTTATGCGCTTCAGAGAAATTGCTTCGTTAGTTTTGTTTTTAATCAGTCATCTTCATTAACGTTTCTGTTTTTAAAACAGTGAGACGAGACGTTCAGGAGAACGATGAGGAGGCCGTTAGGGTTAAAGAGCAAAGCATCCTGGAGCTGGGAACACTCCTGGCAAAGACGGGGCAGGCTGCAGGTAATGTTTTTGTTTAATGTTTGTCATAGTTGTTGGAGTGAATTTAGTTTTAGATTTTGCCTCCAAATGATTACAAAATAACCCCCACAATCACTTAAAAAGTTCTTTAAAATAATTTTGTTTTCCAAGTTTGCTCTAATTTTGAATTGTCTGGCTATTTACGTACTACCTTTAAAAGGAAAGCAAAGGTGCTGAACTATAAAGTTTTGACGGTTCTCATCTTTCTGCAGAGCTCGGAGGCTTGTTGAAGTTTGTGAGACCGTTCCTGATTTCCATCAGCAAAGCCAAGGCGGCCCGGCTCGTCCGCTCTCTGCTGGACCTTTTCCTGGACATGGAGGCAGCGACCGGGCAGGAGGTGGAGCTGTGTCTGGAATGCATCGAGTGGGCAAAGGCAGAGAAGCGGACCTTCCTACGACAGGCTCTGGAGGTCAGTACGTCTAATGTAGCGGGTGCATCGAGCGGCACCTAATCCATCCTCAACCGCACTTTTCTATGTGAATTTGTAACTTTACTCAGTAAGAGAAGATGTATCTCTCTTATTTGACTTTTTGTATCTAGTGAACCTGATTCCAGGACGCAGTGACCAAAACCTGATCGCTGAGTACTCCTACAATAATGAAACAATTCCTGCCAAAATATTAAGTTACTCTGAACTAATTGCTTTTGTTTTTTATTTCCGCTTTCTGTACAAACGTGAAGGGGCTTCGGAGGGGATCGGTTCTTAAAACGCGGTGGCTCAAGGGAGCGGGAAAGGTTTCCATCTTAAAGTGAAAGTCGTCATTAAATAAGACTGTTTATATCATGGCAAATGAATGATAAAACCTGGAGCTTGTACACATGTGATGAAACAGCCTGTAAGCAATATCTGATGGCTGCTGCTGGACGTCTTGGCCAAGCTGTCATATCTAACTCTGGCATTAAGAAACGGTCGGAGTTTTTATTTGACAAAGGGAATATCACAGTTTTTTTTTCCATTTATCTTGTTGAAAAGAACTGTGGCAGTGTTTAATTTAAAGATGGTGAAATTAATGTTTACTGTCGCTCCACATTTATGGATCTGAATTGAAGTGGCGAACAGAGGAACTTGAAGTGAAATGACTTTCATGTAGAGATGTGATGTACTATCCCATCAGCCATAGATGGAAATCAGACAATTTTATTCTTGATGAGATCCGGTTAGCTGTTTAAAAACAACAATTTTTAAAATTATAAAATGAGTAGCTGTTTAATTATCTTTTTATGATAAATAACATATTTATGTTGTAAAACCTGAAATCCTTAAACTACAGTTTGGTTAAAAAAAGTAATTATATAAGGCCCTGTGTCTAAGCAGCTCATTCAAAGCATACACTAGTTGTTTTTATTTTTTCTAGATGCTGCGATGTATAACTTTTGTTCTTTTCTGAATTTTAATATAAAAAATGATGTTTGTTGTAAATATCAATGTAACAATGATATTGTTACCAAAGAAATGTCGCAAATTATGAGTTATTCATAATTTTCCAGTGGATTCCATTTTAATTTCTGAATTAAGTGAAGTCTATTTTCTGAATCCTTTCATTTCCTGTTGATATTAGAAAGTTTTACCAGAGTTCTGAGCTTTTGACTTCATCTAGTAAATCGGATGAAGTCCGATGAAGTTGTTTTTTTGTGTTTATACTTTCTTGTCTTTATTTGTCACGTTTTCCCTTTGCAGCTTACTCTTAAATGCACATAACGTATCTGAAATAATTTTTTTTTTTTTTTTTTTGATGGCCACTGACCTTTAGTTCACCTCTTGGAATGTAAGAGGTCTGAATAAACTTGTCCAACTGAGACAGGTGATGAAAAAGGATTCAGCAATTAAAAGCTAAGATAGTAGCTTTTAATTTTCACGTTTAAAGATCCAAATCTTTAAACGTGAACATTTGAGAACCCCGGTTCTATGAAATGAAGGTCAGCCCAACATTTTCAGCGGTTTGGCTTGGCGTTTTCTCCGTGGCTCATTTTAACATTCTCTCCGATTTCAGGCTCGGCTGATCTCCCTCTATTTTGATACCCAAAGATACCAGGAGGCCTTGGCTCTTGGTGAGTTTTGTTGCTTACTCGATGTGGTGTTTTTAGGAAAAAGGTGATAATAATCACCTTTTTCTTATGTTGAGCAGATTAAAACAGAGAAACAAGCAGCAGGTTCATATCTGTGTGTCACAGTTTTGTAGTAATGTTCAACACTTGGTGGGCATGACTTTGACTCGGTCTCGCTCTCCTTCCTCCAGGCTCCCAGCTGCTGCAGGAGCTGAAGAAGATGGACGACAAAGCGCTCCTCGTCGAGGTCCAGCTGCTCGAAAGCAAGACATACCACGCTCTCAGTAACCTGCCCAAGGCCCGCGCCGCCCTGACCTCGGCCAGAACCACGGCGAACGCCATTTATTGTCCCCCAAAGCTCCAGGCGACGCTGGACATGCAGTCAGGTCAGATGGGAATCGAGCTGATGCTTCAAAATCTCTGATGGCT